GTTGGGATTTGAACATTGTAGACCTTCGTTGGGATTTGAACACTGTAGATTTGAACAGCCCTAAACCAAGACAGACATATCTAGGCTGCAAATATCTAGAGCAGTGTTTCTCAACCTTGGCAGTTAGAAGATGTGTGACCTCCACCGCCCAAAATCCCCCCCCCAGCCATGCTGGCGGGGGAATTCTGGGCGTTGAAGTTCACACATCTTCAAACTGCCAAGGTTGAGAAACACTGATCTTAGACTCTCACTACATGGCAGCAAACAGGGATTTTTTGTGGGTGTTTTTCATTGTTATCAGTGAACATGTGACAGCTCAGGTGTGGATACACAAGCTCCTTCAATATTCAGGTGGGACAGAACTCTCTTATTCTGTTTTATTTCACTTCTCATGTCTTCAGACTTCAGTACATTTAATTGTCAGGGTGCAACTTGGGGATCTGGGGAGAATAATCTGCCCCCAAACCCTGTATTCCTTCTTACTCTTTTCTCCAAATAAATCCCTTTGATCAGGCCTTTTCTACCCTAGCGTGCCTTCTTGCTAGCCATTTCCCCAAATATAAAGGATGTGACTTCTTTTCTCCAGCATACTCATTCTGTGGGCCTTTGATCCCAAGAGGGCTTCAGTTCCGAATAGCACAAATATTCAGTGGAACCATGTATTGGTTCTACATCGCTTCAGCATGGATGTCCACTTGGAGGAACAACCCCACGTGAATCTCTTCTCCTGTGCTATCACCTCCTACGTCGTGTTCATGCACAACTTCCACCTGCACTTTCCCTCAGTCTACACTCCTCCACACTGCCACTCCCAGGCTGGGAAAGAAATTCTCTTGCACAACCACTCCCACCCAGTTCTTAAATCAAGTCAAGCCAGTGGCTCTGTGCAAGAAATTGTTCTGAAGGTCAAAGTCATCATTCATGCTAAGCAAATCAAGCACATGTTTCCTTCAGTCCAGGGGTTCTACTTTCCTTTCCATTTTAAAGATTGTGACCTTGGTTGATCTTTCCAACAGAGCATTAGCATGGGAAAATTTTAGCCCCATTTTCACAGGTTGCACTCCCGTGCCCTCTTTCTAAGTAGACCACAGCCTGAGATTTTAACTTGCCCTTGCAGTAGGGCCTGATTAAAATTAATTGCTATTTCTTTTGCATCCAGGAGCTCTCTGGGACCCTCAGTTGTGGCTTGGTCACTTGGTTAACTTGGTTAGTGGCTGCAGCAGAGACATAGATTCATATTAGAGATAGAAAGCAGGAAGGAGGAAACCCACTCTTCAGTGTGTTACACACAACTTCCCTGTCCAATATGTCCCTGGGGAAAACACTGGGGCTGACTCTATGCATTCCCAAATGTTTCTCCAAGTAGACTAAAAGTAATCATTCATATAAGCCAAAAAAAATAAAAGATGCCCGGATCATCACTGCTAACTTCAGCTTCACACCTCCTTAAAACATTGCTCTAAACTTAGGATGAGGGTGCTAATTTTAAGAAAAAGAAGTTACACTTTATGCCGCTTGAACAAACAAAAGATCAAAGAAGCTCAAGGCAAAAATAGAACGAGTTATTTGCCATCATGGAACGAAGTGGCCTTCTTCAAAGGCGTAAAGAAAAGACGTCGCCATTTCACACTACAATGTAGATCATTTTCCCAATATGGGGACTGTCCCATCAGAGACACTAATCCACAGATATTAAGAAACATTTGTATTCCTTTGTCCATGCTCAGCCATCCAGCTACGAGCTCACAATCAGTGTCACTCTAACAAAAGCACGACAAGGACGTGTTTTCATTCACCATCAGGCGAGACACTCGTCCCCCGTTCGTGGAGCTGAAATTCATCAATTTCCTTTCAAATGTATCCCGTAAAAACTCCAAGCGCAAACATTAAAATAGAGATTAGGAAGAGACATCTTTGAGTATGTTAAATTTTTACTCTCAGATAAAAATCCTAACATTGCAGCAGCAACAGCCAGATTTTTAACTCTTTTGAACAAGGTCTTTAGTAATAAAGGAATACATTTTGAGTTTTCAAAGGTTTTCTGCAATATCTGTTAACTTGTTTTATCTGCCAAACTGTTTTACCTTATGCTAAACCTTTTGATTGTATCCGTACTTTGCTGTTTGGGACTTTGGGCAGACATAAACATTACAATTCATTCATTGTTTATTAATTGTACAATTGTGACCAGCAAAAGTTCCAAACAGCCAGGTATGGATATCATCAAAAGTTTTAGCATCAGATAAAGCAGTCTGGCAGATAAAACAAGCTAATATTTAAATATGGAAGCATGTACATTTTAACCCTTTTGGGACCAGTGAAAAGTTTTGGGAATCGGTTGTAGTAATCCCATCTGGAAGAAGTGAAAGCAAAGAAGATTTTGAGGGAACTATATATTGGGCAGCAATTAGACTATATTAAAACCCCCTATTATTCATCTGTTGGCTCAAATTTGATGTTACTGATCCTAACCCCAGCTCATGCCTCATTTTGTTCTGATGCAGCTCATAGCATCAGAACAAAAACCATCCAATTAACCTAAAATACAAAGGCTGAAAGTAAAATAAAATAAAATAAAAAATACAAAGGCTGTACATCCTTCAGAACTTCTCCAGACTGTGCTTAAGCACAGAATGTCTCTGCTAGTCATTAAAGGACCTTCTGCTTCTAAGCTTCTGTTCCGTCTAAGGAAAAAAAAATAAAATAAAAGATGCTACTGTCTTAAAAGATGCCTTCACTTTACTTAGTGGATTCCTTAAAATGGTTGCCTCTTTTTCAGGCTTATGGAGAAGCCTGAACAAAGTTGAGTTGCCTTTATAAAGAGCATGGAAGTTGTGCGCTCTCTCAAGATCTCAAGGACTTTTTCCAAATGGTTTTGGAAAAGCAAACGGCTATATAAAATACATAACTGAAGTGTGTGCGCGCACACACACACACACATACACACTTGGGAGAAAAATGCTATTCCTCAGGAGTGTCACCCAGCAATAAGCTGAAGTATTGTTATTGTTGGACACAGATGGTTTAAAACAGAGCAGGGGTCAGGGTGTCCACAGGTAGGTCAAAAAAGTCAAGACGGCAGCCACAACTGCCCCAGGGCAGCCCTGCCCCCTCTTTTATTTGGGTCACAGACACTCCTGTAGGAGATGCAACTTTTTTGGGGCTAAGGGCAACAGGCACCTTGGAATGGCAGCCTGGGACCACCCTCCAAACTTAGTGGGCATTGTTTCGACAAAAATTAAACCTGAATTTGTTTCATTTCCATTTCCATTTAACTACCAATGTAGTTAGACAACACAATGACTCTCTGATCAGGCACTGAATCCTTTTCCCTTTCAGCCATGGGAAACGTTTCCATTTTGTAAACACTTCTGCAAGTCTCTGGAAGTCATCCTGGGCACGTTTTGGATTAAACCCAAGCCCAGAGCAACGAAAAGATTTCCTGAAGGGCCATGGTTTACTTCAACAGCTACTGGAATACGCCACTGAGGGCTTGCAAAGCTCTCAGTGGAGGGAATTAAACCATTTTTTTTTCATTCATACATAAATAAAACAAATGAATCCTTGGCACTATCACCAAGGAGCAACAGCTTCTGGACGTTGCTGGCTGAACCTAGTTTGGATCTAGATGACAAACAAAAGCAGATAAATGCTCCATTTTCATGGTTGATTGTGCAGATTCCTGACTTACCAGCAACCCCAAGAAAGATCCCGCCAAAGCTAGCTTTGGGCTGTTCCCTGGAGAAGGCAAATGGAGACTGGCATCGCTTGGCAATCTCCTTGGCAAAGCTGGTGTGAGCGAGGAGGAGGAGGAGGAAGAGGAAGCCGGCCAGAAAGATTGCTGCTCCTCAGAAAAGTCTCGGATGCCTTTGTTGGGGACTTCTTTCTGCGACTTGGGTGGGCCGTACGGGGAGTGCTAAGAAAAGAGAGAGGAAATGAATTCCGCATGATTGTACCAGGGCATCTGCAGAGGGGTCCAAAAAGACAAAATGGCCACCACAGTCCCACAGCTGAATCCCCTGGGGCTTCAACTGCAGTGTCACGGCTACCCTCTTGACTTTCTTGACCTCCTCTGGGGCCACCCGTGATACTGTATGTAGAAGGAGCAGGAGGCGAACATTCGATTGGGATCTTGAAATCAACTTTATTGAATTTTATTGAATTGCCTAATAGGACGAAATTTCTGGATCAAATCTGCAGGCCAATTTGAAGAACTGAATCTGCGGCTTCTGAATCAGCTCAAACGACTTCTGGGCAGAAAGTCTTTCTCTGGCTTGGATTGGCTCACAGAAGAGGTCTGTTAGCCCTGCGAGGTAGTCCAGGCAAAAAGCACAACCAGGAGTACTATCTCTGTCTTTCTTCTAAGGTTACATTAACAGAATCTTGCCAGACTGAAAGCATTTCTCCCCTCCTTTCCTTTTACTCTCCGGAAAACTGGGGAGGGTCCCTTCTGAGATGTTTCCCACCCCCTCCCTCTTTCTGTGGGCTGAGACACCTTTTACACACCGGTTGTCCCATTTGCAGCTCTCCCTCCTGTCTCCCAAGGTCATTCCCACAGACCATGACAGGTTCTTCACTGACTTCGCTCTACTTTGCTTATCCAACACTAACAATGATGCATTCATTCCATTTACAGCCAAGCTTTCCGTCCCAGAGGAGATGAAAACCGCCCCTTCCCCTTTGATTCATGTTCCTTCGCTCCCCCCTGAAGAAAAAAGGTCAGGTTAACACCGATAGCCAGACACGCCTTACCCCACAAGTCTGGAATTCTGCCGTTGGTGACACCACAGGTGGTCCTTCGAAGGCACTGCCTGGGGTCGTCTGTGGTGGGACCCCCAACAGGTGTAAGGGAGTCAGGAAAGTGGTTCCAACCTCCATCTGCATCTTTCCTTCCTTGCGGGGTAGCAAAGGAGAAAGGTGGCGTGGCGTGATGGGTCTCTCTCTCTTGGCACCAGGCCGGTGCTCATGGAACGATACCGTGTAGGCCAACCGTCCACAGTGCATGGCCAGGTCATCGGTCCCAGCCCGGAGCAGCACCATAATATCGCTATAACGATATAAATCTTCTTCCTTGCTAGCAAAAAGGTTCATCCTGGGCTGGTTCGTGCGGGGGTAAATAGCAAAGAATGCTTCCCCCGTCTTCACGCCGGTCTTCAGGAAAGAACCGTGCAGGCGCAAGGCTTCAATCCGCAGCCGGGCATCATGGTTTTTATCATTTTTGCAGAAACCTATATTTTTGCAGAAGGGAGAAAAAATCTGCAGTATAGCTGGAAGATCATGGGAGCCCCCTTTTCCTCCCACCTTCTCTGGCAACAGCTATCTATTTTTTGCAAAAGTTAGCAAGTAGGCCATCAGAACTGAACTCTCATTCTATTTCCTTTATTTTTAATTTACATGTATTTATTTAAATAATGTACACGGCCACCCATCTCACAATAGCGACACTTGTCACTTAAAGCATCGTTCTTCTTCTCTTCAGCCTGCCTGCCCCCCTAAAACGGCTGTGAAAATGACCCACAAAGATGAGCAGTGTGATCGTCCCTGCCCTCAGGCCTCTGATACAAAAGACAAATGCAGAAGGAAAGAGTGATGGGAGGGAAGAGGTCAAAAAAGCTAGTTCCAGCACTCCTCGATTGAAGACATGGTTCAGGTAGCCTGATGGAAGCCAGAGACAGATGACCTTTCAGCCAAGGTAGTGGAATAACCTGATTTTCTCCTCTGTCTCTATTACAAGGTTTGCCAATAGTGTCTGCTCATTTTAGCTCAAGAAAAAAAAGCTGAATGCCAAGATAAAACAGTACTGTAGTTGGGGGGGGGGGGTTGGTGTGTGTGTGTTCCTTCAAGTCAGTCTTGGCTGCTGTTGGACAAGTCCCTGCTATTTTCTTGGCAAGATCTTTCAGAAGTGGTTTGAGCTTGCCTCCTTTCTAGGGCTGAGGGAGAGGGACTGGCCCAAAGTTGGATTTGTGCCTAAGGCAGGACTAGAACTCACACCTCCTGGTGTCTAGTTCCAGTGCCTTTAACTACTACATTGAACTGGCTGTCGTTATGAGATTATGATACTCTTTTTGCTTTTGTTTAATCAAGATTATGGTTTGATCTTGTTTTGCTTTGGTGTATAAACTGCCAGGGGTTGGTGTCTGAAGTAAGAAAGATAGGGTAGGGTAGGGTGAAGGGAAGGGAAGGGAAGGGTAGGGTGAAGGGAAGGGAAGGGAAGGGAGGGTAGGGTAGGGAAGGGTGAAGGGAAGGGAAGG